TACTTGATACCAGTATCTTTGTGCAACTTTTGTGTTCTGTTATTTTTTTAAATTATGAGAGATGTACCGACTTGTGACCGATTATCTGGCTTAAGTGCTAAGGCATCTTGCTAAAGCATAGAAATAAAAATACGATGTTCTCTCTTTTTCGTCATTAGTATAATTTTAACATTTTTCAATATGTAGTAACATGGTATATTTACTTACAGGTACATAATTAACACAGGTTAATAATTAACCTAATTAATTAAAATAATTAAACAACCTAAGTAATTAAATATACTTACAGATACATAAACTAAATAAATACCAATTAACTAGAAACTTTGGTCATAATTTCTTAATTTTATAATAGAATAAAAATAAAAAAAAAGGTAAACAATTTTCTGCTTGGGTTTAAACGTGTCTGAAAATAATCGGCAATAGCCTTAAAAGACGATTTATTGGTCGACTTAGTCGGTACATCTCTAAAAATTATTCAAATGAAATGGTTGATAGAGATAACCGTCGAAGATGAACAGGAACAAGGAAATATTTTACAGCTTAACGAAAGGAATGTGTTTGTTTAAAGGAAGAGTACGAAAATTGTATACACACGAAAAACACGTATAAAATATCTTGCGATACCCTTTTTGCGTTTTATGTAACAATTGTAAGTGTAATATTTTAATTCGCAAAAGAAATTACTCGCGCATCGAATTGCACAATTCGATAGTTCCAGTGATAATCTTTGATTGATGACTCAGTAGAGAATTTGCATATTTTAATCTGTACATTGCACGCACACTGATACAATAGTGATGCACTTGAAATTTCCTCGATACGATATATTATACAATAAACAAGATTATGCTTATATAAAAAAAAATATTATCATCGATAATTTTGAATTAAATTACTGCGAGAAAATTTGTATTGTACTCTGAATAGGTTTCTTCAATGATCCATTTTACCACTATAATATACATAACAGGCAAAAATATGTAAATAAGTATCCAAAGTATAGTATTCATTATCATGTAAATTATTGTAGATAAAACAAATCTTTGCGTACGAATCACTTATTTAACTCTTTAGAGCTATATTTATACATACTTACAAAATTCTACTATTTTAAATTATATATCGTGAGATTAATGTATCTCTAAAAACACTGACAATTTTTGACGAAGAAAATACTTTTTCTGCTCAGATGAGGATGGTATCAGTTTGGTCGCATATCACGTAAAATTTAACGACGATTTCTACAGCCTTGAAGCGGGTACTATTGCCATTGACATCATAAAAAAAAGAAATGGCCGTTGGACATATGAAGATAGAAGCACGAGATTAAAACGAGGCGACAAGATTTATTATTGGCTCCATGTCGTTTACGAAGGTCTTGGTTATAATTTACTTAACCAAGAGTACGAAGTCAAAGGTTTGTTGAAAATAAAAGAAATGATTTTGGTACTGTTTCTCTGTAAAACATTGACCGTTCATTTTACTCTTTCTGTCTTTAGAATTTTACAATTACGATGGAACTCCAGTGGACGGAGGTACCGCAGATAACATCACCTGTTCGACACCATCGCAGACTAAAATCTTTGAAGGTAGTTCGATAAATCAGCAGACGAAAGGAAAAACTATCTGTGCAGGACAAACGATCTTCGAAGAAAATTTCGATTTTCTTAATACGAATCTTTGGACGAACCTCGAGCGTTTTTCTGGCATTCCGGTAAATATACTAACCACGTTTGAATTTATAGATAGACTTAAATTATTAAAGAAGATAGTAGAAGACATGTAACATGTATTCTGTCCTCTCTAGAAATAATAAATCTAATATGTTAAGGAATAACATAGATAAAATCGAATTAAGACAGTTAAAAATTTATTGTTTTATTTTAGAATTATGAATTTGTCGTATACATGAAGAATAGCGACAACGTGGAAGTCAAAGATGGTATTTTGCATATTAAACCAACCTTCACCAATGATAAGTTTGGTCCCAACTTCGTTACAAACGGAAATCTGACTTTGACGAGGTAAAATTTTAATTATCACAAAGTCAATCATAATGAAGTCATAATCGTCATGTTAAAAATCTTGAATGTCTCTTTAGCTGTACAGGCGTAGCTAATACCGATGATTGCAAACGGAATGCATTTGCAGCGTACATTTTACCGCCTGTTATATCAGGACGATTAAATACCAAGTCATCGTTCGCTTTCCAGCACGGACGCATTCAAATCCGTGCCAAATTGCCTCGTGGTGACTGGTTATATCCTTGTGAGTTCTATCGTACATTTTGTGCATCTTTATATAGTTATGATATTTCGCGAATTAATTGTTAACTGCTAAATATACCAATTAATAAACAGTAGAGCCTCTTGCATCCGAACTCTCGTTACGTATTATGTACGTAGATATATGTTATTGAACGTGTATATTATTATATGACTTATTTTCACATCTACAAGAAATACTTGCCAAAATACGATATATAGTTTATGAGTGACAAATGTGTCATAAACATATAAAACTTGAGATACATACGGAAAATTGAACAAATAGATATAGACAGTTATAAATATATCTTAACATAGAGACCAGAATGTATTGTAGAAAAAGCGGAATGTATTGTACAAACCGGAAGCTATCGTAAGCCGCGAGGTAAGGATTATGTACAAATAAATGATAAATAATTCAATAAAAGACCTCAATGGCTTCTAGCAGCCAGAGAAATATAAAATCCACAAATATTGAAACAAATTAACAATTTTTTTGATCTCTATTTTGAGAAAAGCGATTTTTTTTCTTTTGTCGAAGATTTCATTATCCGGACAATTTTGTCTCCTTATTAGTACGGATATGGGAGGCTCTGTACTGTATTGTGTGTCACTATTTTAAAAAATTCAATTATCAAGATCGATTATTTAATTTAGTAAATGGTGTATAATTCATTGTTATATTTTAGTACTCACTCTAGAGAACATAAACGAAAGTACACCAAATTCGCCGCTCCATTCTGACATCATAGTGGCTCATTCAAACGGAAATCCATTCCTCAAAACGCGAAGAGGAGACGACATTAGCGGGCACATTCTCATAGCTGGAGCTCATGCGACGACCATAAACCAACATTCTCCACGTGATAATCGATTAATGCTACCTAAAAAGACTTCGACGAAATTATGGTCAGATGATTATCATGTGTACGATTTGGAATGGAAAAGCGATCGAATCACGCTCAAGGTTGATGAAGAACAGTATGGCGATCAAGAAGTTCCACCAAGTTTGTTCAATAATCCGGTTAGTACTTTAAACTGCAAATATGTAACTACTTTTACATTTTTTCCCGTGCCTATTTCACCATCTTTCTTTATCTGTTCGTCTTGTAATACTGCTAACAATCTAAGATCACAAGGAAGAAATATGACAAGTCTATTTTTAGTAATTTTCTGATGTTTATACTATTTGGTGGCTGAAAGAAATACATAACTGAAATGTAGAAGAACCTTAAAAAATGTAAGACTTGCCAACAAATGCACAATTTTTGTAGAAAGAAGAACAGTAAACTAACTCCTTCACGCGCAAATCTCTCTTTGGTTTAGTAACGCAAGCAATTAAATCTTTTTATAATAAAAAACGGCTAAAATACATACATATTTTAATATAAAATATCGTAGTACCTGGATCTAATTAAATTAGAAAATACTTAGAGTAATATATCGTTACGTGTCACGAGCATGTGCATCAAGTAGTTGAAGAACAGAATTTAAAAATTGCTTTCTTACAGAAGAAGAATATGACTTATGCCTTTTCTATAATCTTTAATTCTAAATAGTTCATTTAACATTTTCCACGTTTTAACAGGCTTATATAAACATCGGTCTAGCCGTAGGAGGTCACTTGATCTTCCCAGACGGCTGCGTCAGCAGCGAGTACGCAAAGCCCTGGAGAGACGTCGAATCGAAGGTACATCTACTTAAAAAATTCGACTTCCATTACCAAAAACAGGACATTTAAAACACAATATCATTGATTTCAGGCACTCCTCAATTTCTATTCAGCAGCCAACAAATGGCAAGCAACCTGGAGGAACAGTGACACCGGTCTTCATATAGACTACATTAAAATCCTGGCTGTCTGATTCCATTTTTCACTTTGATTGAGAAACACATTTAATCATTCCTTTCTATTTTCTATCGCTTTCGTATTCCTTCATATAAATCCATATAAATTGATAAAACACACAGCAATTAGAAGGGAAGCGGAGGAGGTACCAACACGGAAGCAGGCAACGGTTCTTGATAAGGCACGTCATCCGGATGGAAACCAGAACCAAGCAATTCAATCAGTCGTTGTCCTCGATAGCCATAGCGTCTCTGATAATCAAACGAGGCACGAGGTCCATCCTCTGGTCTGAATTCAAACATCATCTTCTTCCTAGTGTCCGGAGAAGCTACCAGTCTCAGAAAACCATCCACACCGTTTCTTGGCCATTCCCAAAATCTTCCACTAGACCATAGCGAACGAATCGTGGCCATCCATCTCGAGGGAGACAAGCCAAACGGAAGTGTCCTAGCGACTCGAGTTGAAACAGTTCCATCGCACTGGACTACTATGCACAGCTGTACATGCAATAAAACAATCATGAAACGATTTTCTGATAAGTTTTTACTGTAGATCACGATCGATATATCCGAGCGTAGACCCACTTACCGCGCAGATTAATATTAACGCGTGGTTCGCGCGCATTTTCTTTTATCGAACCTCCAGGTAGGAAGACAGGGAAAGCAATATCCCATCATTCATGGTGCCCACTCACCTTTATGTCTTTCGAGTGGGTGAAAATTTCGTGCATAGAATACATTATGATTTTTTCGTGATAGAATTGTCAATCGTCGAAGCGTTGCTCTTCAAACGATTCGCGCCTCCTTCCTCGACATCGGTTTTCTTTACTTTCACTGATTCCATTGCGCCAGACTGCCACGATATACCAACTGATTTCTTTTCCACTGTGTCCTTCTGAGCAGAGTTAGTTGGTATTCCGCACTCATTCCGATATCATCAATCAGGCTGTCGTCAACGTGATCCTACGTGACCACCTCGAAGAGGAACAACATGGATTTCCCCCGTAGTTTGGTACTTACAATTTACTACACAATTGCAAACAGCGATTTTTCGATCGTTTTTGTAGTTCCTTCTCTGAAGCGGTTTTGGAGCTAGTAATCAGTTAGAATGAATAGTAGAGATGTAAAACTTGTGTTTTGTGTTTTGTGGTTATTTATAAGGGAAGAAATAAGAGAAATTGTTGGAATTATTTTATATAATCGCATACTTGAACTTAATAAGAGAGATAAGTTACATTCGTGCATGACGTGTTTCAAAATTAAGTCGTATAATCGTTACAAGTGAATTCGCAGAATAATAAGTTTCGTAATAGCTTGAAAAAGATGACACATTTGTATAAATAGATTAAATTTACTAATATCGTCGTTCGTTGCTAATCTTCTTTCTAATTTTTTATAAGCACAAAAGAAACATGTATAAAACATTGAGAAATTAAATAAATATAACATAATAGGATAGATAGAAGAAAATATAAAATTATAGCTCAAAGATTAATAATATACGAAAATAAAAACTGTGAATTTTACATTTACATAACAATTTAGTATAAAGCATTCTTATACTGATTGAACATGCTCAAATAAAGAATGATAATTTACAAAATAATCATGCAAGGATACGCGTTTATTATATATACTATTCTATGCATATAGAACTAGGATTAAATTACATCGATAAATTTTTGGACATTTTAGACAATTTCGATTTTTCTTGTCTTGCTGCTTAACGCTGATAGAATCGTATCGGTCGCCGAAGGCATCAGCATTTTCTCATTTATTCACGATCTAATTCAGTATAACGTAGCGGGGATACCGCTCATCCACGAGGCAAGTATAATATTCTGTGAAACAGAAAATCAAGGTTAAAATAAAAGTTCTGAGAAAATCTAGTTAAGAATGGTACGATTACTTGCATTAAGTGAATAATCATATATTAATCGTTGCGCAGCAAACACAATGGCACTTTGATCCAGAAGATGGGAAACAGAGAAGAATCAGATACGAGAAGGAAAATGGTCGTCATGGAGAGATCGCAATAGCAAAGATCGGTATGGGAGTCGGAATCCAGGAGCCATTAATAAGATCTGCGTAAAAACTAATAGGAAATCGCTAATCTGCAAAAAGAAATATATCAAAAATGAATGAAAACTATCTTATAAGTAAAATTGATTACGCTAATTGTAGTAAAAAATCAAGTGTATTTTAGTAAAACAAAAATAAACATTTTTCTTTCGAGTATTTAAATTGGATAAATAGTATTCTATTTTGTATGTAATATTTTTAAATATATTATACTTTATACTTAAATACAATTCTTCTTCGTCTTCCTTTTTATTTAAAAAGATATATTCTGCTTTAAAAGTATGTATATTTATTTAGACTTCAAAGTCATGCTTTTTTCAAGGAATTTCGTCAATTGTCAATTGTATAATCGACTTTCGACGAATTCCAAATAACAGTAGTGCGTAAAAATTCAATTCGTCGCAATCTTAGCAGGTGTGCGTATGTAAAATGTACGACTTTCACTTCATACAAAGAAAAGGCGAAGTGGGGACGGAATGAAGCACAGTAACGGACTTCGGAATAAGGCAAACTAAAAGTAGAATCAGAAAAACGGAAACAGACCGATCGTACGGGCCGTAGTATCTATCGTCTTCCTCTCGTTCTTTCTCAATTAAAATAATCTACATTATTTGTATTTCGATGAAAAACGATACATCGGAATAAAGACACTCGCATATCTAGTGTTACACTTTGTGACGAATTTGCTTTTCGTTCTGCAAATTGAAAGTATTACTCTGCGGTCACCGAAATGGCAAGACACGCTCCCGTAAGTAAACTAACTAAAAATCGAACGAAATAAAACTTCGAAATAAAAATAAAGATAAATGTGCAAGTAGAGAAACATACGTAAATAGAATTATGCTTGTGTAAACATTTACAGTAAATTAAAAAGGATTCAAGGAATATGTAATCTTTGGCTAAAGTAGGTCTAAAGTAGGTACTTCTTGACCTGTTTACGGTGCACGTGCCACATAAAACGATGCTCGTTTCTTTTTCTTTTTCGTACTATTTATTATGAAACATTTAATAGATTCATCTAAGATATATGTATACGATAAATGTAGGATACCTTTTCGCATATTTTTGTTTCAACACGCTAATACGAACTGACATACTTTCAGTGGACGACCATGATCTTTGCGACAATAATCGTTGCCTGTTTACTTGGATTAATCGTTGAAACCGCGGCGACGATAGCTCAACCAAAGGCACCTAATTTCCAGTATTTTGAACGGTAAGAGATTAAAGAAACATACAAAGAGGATAGATTAAACATATTGAAAGGAGGTAAACAATGGTTCGCTGTTACACAGTTGTAAAAAGGATTACAATAATCTCATGCTAAATTACAATTTGTAATATTACATACATATTATTAAGGAAATAATCGTCTAAAGGTGTAAAACACATATGCATCGATTTTTGTTTAAAAATAAATGCAATCACAAGATTTTATTAATTATTAACTGATTATTTATAGGCCTAAATATCGCTACCCATACTATGATGAAAATGGCAGGGGAAAATTACTCTATGGTTATGGAGGACCAGATCTGTATCAATACAAAACTTTCAGCGCCCTTGAGGGAATTCATTAAGATAAAGAATATTAAATTACGCTATTAAGACATCTAGTTAATAATCATTCTATGAGTTGTGATTATTATCATATAGGGTGATCGTTTGTGAAATGACATATAGTACATACACGATTTTGCTTCGGATTACAAGAAAACGATTATATATATTCCATGTTGCACAATAATAACATACAATATGTAACTTTCAATACTTTGCATTATATCCTTACATCTTTTCTTGTTATCAGAAACACATCGAGTCACGCTATGGAATTAAGGAACATTACAAGATCATTTATTCTCCCAATCATAACCAATTGTATTTTTAAATGCAATCAATCGATATGCTTAATTATGTTGTAAACATGTAAACATTATGTTTCTTCGCCGCGGGTTATGAATCTTTTTGTTCGACAATACGAGTTCGCGAAAGTAGAAACGAGTCTATGTATTTATCTCAAAAGACAAATTACTTCGTTAGTCAGATGAATGAAAAAATGTGTTAGACATTAGAATATTATGATAAATCGATGCAGAAATTACTACAAATACAATTACGAGTAATACCATTAAAATTGATAGTCTATGAAAAATTTGTGGAATGTGCATAGCATTTCTAGAGCCTATGAAGTGTCCAATATAATCACCGTGAAGACGAAAAACGGTTAGATTCTAGCGCCTAGAAATCGGGTATCGTACATCAGAAAGACAGAAAAATTTGCAAAGGTTAAAAAACGCAGTCATTTTAAATCTTAGTTAAACGCGTTTAGTTAGACGCAGAAAATGTTCGTTCCGTGACAAGTGCACATACAAGTTTACAAATGTGCAAGCATAGTCGAGTGTATAGCGAGATATTATTGATAAACGAATGACTACTACCCGTACGATGTGTATTGGGTATTTTATTCCAAATGATCCTTGTCCGCCTTATCTTCGGCAGACTGTAACTGTCATACAAAATCCATTTCGGATTTATTATAATATCGTGTACCTGCTCGTAGGTTATACAGCTGCCTTTCTATTAATTTCTTTATCTCGCTAATTATGAAAACGCTTGACGTGATTCCAACAAGAACCAAGATATCTGTTGAAAACAGAAACAAATATTTCCTTCAAAAGTTCAAAAATAAAAATGAAATATTATAAAAGCTTCGTTTAAAATACGCACCTACTGCCGAAAGAGCTTCGGTTTGGAAAACTCGTTGTAACGGTGGAAAGTAGATCACTAGCATTTGTCCTATTACTGATAATGTTACGGCTACCAGGAACATTTTGTTACTAAATAAACCAATAGTAAATATTGATTTGGTCTGAAATGTTTATGACATGTTTAATTCATGGAAAATATATATTACAATGTTAAACAATTTCATTATTTTTTTTTTACCTGTGATCTACAGCTTAGAGCATTAAACATATCGAAGAAAACGAAACATGTAAATGTCATGGTTGTATCCCTTGCAGTGTTACCATCAGTCGTCATCTAATAAAAACAAGACACGAGAAAAGTTATAAAGATTATAAAACATGAATGTTCTTTACAATAAATTTCGTACCTCGTTATTATAAACCCACAAAGTACCAATAATAATAATAGTAGCCGATAACAATACATTAATAATAAGCTGTCGAGTGATCATCGGTTCTTTTGTGTTGCGTGGTTTTTGTTTTAAGACATCCTTATCAACTGGTTCAACGCCAAGACTGTAACAAACAAATTAAATATATAAACATGATAATGTATCTAGAACCATCTAATGTATCATAGAGAACTTTTTTGATTTCTACCTCTCTCTTTTGATTACCTTTGAGCAGGTGGTCCATCCATAATAATATTAATCCATAGAATTTGCATTGCATTTAACGGATTTGGTATACCCATCAAAGTAGCAAGTGCAATTAAAGATAGAGCAGCTATGCTAGTACTTAATTGAAATCTTACAAAATTTCGTATATTATGAAAAATTCCTTTTCCTTCCTCAATTGCAGCACTAAAAGATATATGCAATTAAAGTAAAGTGAATGTAAAAAATGTTGAGAATTATTAAAGAAGAAACTAATATGTACATAATAGTTTCAAAATCGTCATCCACCAAAATCATGTCCGCAGCTTCTTTACAAACATCAGTACCATTTTTACCCATGGCTATGCCTATATCTGCTTTTTTCAAAGCAACTCCATCATTCACACCATCTCCTGTCATGCCCACTATATTTCCTTCCCTTTGCAAGGCTTTTACGATACACAATTTGTGCTTAGGCGTAACCCGATAAAATACACTAACGCTATTGATACATTGCTCTAGCTGGTGTTCGGACATTAAATCAATCTCATCTCCAGAGATTAGCCGCGAATGAAGTACATCTAACCCAATCATACTTGCTAAAATAAAAAAATATGTTACAATGCATTATTCTTGCAATATCTTTACAAACTATAAAAAATTCAATAAATCTATGTTGTACCTATTGCGGATGCAGTTTCTTTGGCATCGCCAGTAACCATTTTTACCTTAACGCCACTATTTATAAGAGTCGTTATAGATTCACGAACGTGTGGTCGTGGAGGATCACATATACCAACGAGACCAACATACATTAGATCTTGCAACGATGTACCACGTGCCAATCCAATTACTGTAAATATATTAAAAAGTATTAAGTAAAGAAATTGAAATTGTTATCGTCATTAAAACGTACCTCTTAATCCTTGTTGCCCAACATCATAAGCTTCTGTTAAAAATTCTTCATCTTTCTTTTGATTCAAAGAATGTACTTGACCATTCATAGAGTACTTGGTACATAACGGTAAAATCTTATCCAAAGCACCTTTTACAAAATATATTTCTTGCTTATTCTGTAACATATATTTACAAAAATATAATAAAAATATTTAATATAAATGGTATTAATAATTAAAGAATTATTTAACAAATTGTTATTTACCTCTCCATATTTGGGAGTACATTTTACAGCCATCATTTTCTGTTCGGATGAAAATGGATATTCTTGTAATCGTAGATATCTATCAGCAACTCCGTACATTCCGTATTTCATTGCCACCGCTATCAACGCACCTTCCGTTGGTTGACCAAGTAAAGTATCATTTTGCAGTATAGCATTGTTGCAAACACATCCTACTTCCAACATGTTGCTAATGGCGGTACGTGCAAGATCCATGTTGTCACATTTTCGAATTCGTACTTCTCCTTTATCATTATAACCAGCTCCAGTAACATCAGCTATGTATCCTTCCGATGTCATCAGAATGGTTACAGTCATTTCATTCTTCGTAATAGTACCAGTTTTATCAGAACATATCACGTTTACACAACCTACGCATTTGACGACATACTATCTATATATCTTTGTCTAGCTTTGATAAATGATTATGAAACTCTGTTGCACATATATTTACCCAATGTTTCCACTGTTGGTAATTTCTTCACAATGGCTTTTCTTTTAGCCATCCTCATAACACCCAATGCTAAGGTCACAGTTACAACAATAGGCAAACCTTCTGGTATAGCTGCTACTGCTAAACTCACACTGATGGTAAACATTTCAAGTATAGCTTTGCCTTGGATCCAGCCAAGAAGCATAATAATACCAATAATGCAGAATGAGTAAAAGGATAATTGAGTACCCAAAATATCCATACTTCTTTGAAGTGGTGTTTTTGGAGCTTCTTCGGCCTGCATCATTGAGAAAACTTCTCCAAATTCACTTTTTTCTCCTGTATTCACTACTATACCCTATAGAATATTTTTTATACATTTAAATTAATTTTACATAATTGCTACATTATGAACCCATTGAAATTTAATAGAACTTACTTTTCCATTGCCACAACGCACTAATGTACCCATAAACGCAATATTTCTCTTTGTTGTTAATCCATTAGTTTTAAGTAATGGAGCTGTTGATTTTTGTGCTGGTTCAGTTTCTCCAGTAAAACTACTCTCATCAATTGCTAAATCTATTGCTTCAAATATCCTGATATCTGCAGGTACTCTATCACCAATATTTAAGTAAACTACATCACCAGGAACTAAATTGCGAGCAAGAAATGTTTCTACGCAGCCTTCTCTTAAGCTGTAAAAAAATATTCAAAGAATTATTTTGATATCAAAATTTTCTAACACCTTTTAAAACATTGTTGTATATTATAAAATTAAATTAAAAAGTTTAACTTCCATTCTCAACCTAGAACTGTGCATCTTTAAAATTGGACATTCTAAATAAAGGGGAGGGAATTTCACCTTATTAATCTATTGATTGGAATTGGATACTATATCTTCTGTTTTAAGAAAGCAAAGTAATACTCCATACAAAGGGTTAATATATCCTCCAAAGACCATATTTCTAGAGGAAATGTTAATTTAAATAAATGTTATCAACAATTTTTATCTTTACTATACTTAATATAATTTTACATAATTTTCATTGGATAAATATTTGATAAATATTACAAATTTTCTTACCAGTGACAAGTTGGTGGCACCAGTTTATTTAATTCTTCTAAGGATTTTTCAGAACGATATTCTTGTACAAAAGCAACTGTCACTACTATTATGATAGCCTAAGAAGAGATATACTTTATTAGTGTAAATGTTAATTAAAATGTAATTAGAGAAATATCACGCTGACAGGAACTATGATAAACTTACCACTGTAATACTGACTGCATCATCAAATTGCCTCATACATACACTGACGAAGGCAGAACCAAGAAGTAACAGAATTAGAGGATTTTTAAACTGCAAAAAGAAAAGGATATAATAAATTTTATATTTTATTATTCATATTAATTTAAAATTAAATAATACACTGAAAACCCTTCAAGTACCTGTTCAAGATACTTTTTCCATGTTGGTTCCTCTTCTTTAACACTGAATTCATTGAAGCCAACTAATTGTCTTCGATGATCAGCCTCCTGCCACCAAAGACCTGTTCTTATGTCAACATGTAATCTAGCTGCTACTTCCTCAGCACCAAGGCTGGCTGCTTCAGCTGTTGTTAACCACATTTCTGATGTTTGATCTTTCCCCTTAAAAAATGAAAACTAAATGTTTTCTATTCAATATTTTTCAAATGTTCGCCCAAATTTAACAGACATGAAAACGATTTTCTAACCTTTATCACGAACTTTTGTTCATTTTAAAGTAATAGATAACAAATTTAATAAAACTAAACACATTGTTTTTTTGACAAAAATATTGATCTTTTTTACTATCAAAACACTTGCTACTCCGAGATATACATTGCCGACATTGATGACGCATTGTTAAACCCATTAAGGATTTTCCACATTTTACAGTATACATCAAAGGAACTATAAACATAAATAATATTTTGTTGATAAATATATGTACATAATGAAGTTGTAACTGCATTTAATTTATTTGTACTTAAAAAATGTAAAATAAAATCATCAGTGTCAAACCGACGTTTAGTAAGGTGACACGTGTACCTTGCATTCTGTTTGTATTATAGGGCGTATCAATCTAACACAGAAATGGGTGCAATATATTTGCAAAAATAACAAAACATTTATACAATAAGCATATTTTACGATAAATTTTTTTTAAAATAATGTTATCTTGTAAGGTAAAGACATTGAAATATGATTAACCACAATTTCTAACCTTGAAAAATTCACGAAACTATTGACGAATATCATTACATATTATTATTACTTTACTTCAAATATGATCTAAGGATATTAGTAAAAAATGAATGACTCTATCAAGTATTACGAATTTACTGAATATTACAGATGGTTGTACTCAATATATGTAATTTTTATAAATGTTTTATCTATTATGTATAGATATAATACGATAACTAATTAATATATATACCTATTATATGTATTTTCCATTATCGTATTTGAAAGTATTGTACTACGCAGTTTAAGCCTGAAATAACGTTCCAATACTTTCGACTGTAAGAACTGATTCCTAAATTACGGAAGGGGGAATTACTTTTCCAGGAACTAACATTTATATAACATATAATTATATCTATAATTTATACGTATTCATTTCGAATATTCAATTTACAAAGTAACGAGAGAAACAGAATTTTAATTGTTGGCTGTAAAAAATTTCCATGCAACATCAACTTTAAAATATTGTACAAATTGTAAATATTCGATTTTCCATTCCAGCAATTATCGATCCGTTTTTCATAGAATGCGCAAGGCCACATTGCTACACTTATTACCTTAGGTCAACATATTCAGAATATTTGCTGCCTACACTATCATTGCAAACATTTCAAAATGCTGCTTTATGCCTGTGGTTTAACGTTAGAAAATTACCATTCACAATCAATACCATCTGTTCTATATTAATAGTTAGGTAATTCTCATTATCTTCAATGTGTTAGATAATCCATCCAAGAAAAATGTATAGATACGTTATAGATACTATTGTTTTCAATGAACTTTTTTAACAAACATAAAAATGACATATCTCAACAACGAAATGAGAAAAAGATTACTCGTAGATGAAATCAGGTAACAATAGTAGCTCCAGAAGGTGCTGTTGGCAGGCTAAATATTCGATCGATAGCGAAACATTTGAAGACATAATGGTTGCAATGAACTTTTCATGTTAACGTATTCTAAACAATTTTTCATTTCACACTCTAAGTTTACAATTCATTTTAATTCTTTCTTATGCTTCTAATAATAAAATATAAAGAATGTCACTCAGAATTGTTCCTTTTTTAATAAGGAAGAGCTATGATATTGAAGACTAAACCTTGTTTATTACAAAATAAAACAGCGCACATATGCCGTATAGTATAGTTAAAGGAAAAGATATATTATAAAGAATAATTGATATTAAATAGATAAATAGAAAACTGCATGGGATGGTTTAACAATGCTGTAAATTCGATAATGCGATATTATTATAATCTAGGATAATCCTTACCTCTTTCACCGGTACATTTTCGTTGCGTTCCTTGTCAGTAGCTGCGGCGGCAGCATCAAGTTCATTATCTTCGAAAAGTTTTTCGTATTTCTTACTCGCTGTGTCTTTCATCTCTTCTAAGCCACGTTCTATTTTTCTTTTTTGTTTCCTAGCTCGTTAATTATCGACGATATATGCCACGACGATTTTGTACGCCGCTGATTTTAAAGTCAAAATTCTTATTGGAGATAGGATTTCGCAATATCTCTTTAACAATATACGTTACTATCCGTCAGTCCGGTTTTACAGTTTCGAAAAAAGGAAACACACAGCTCATGGTCCGAATGAATTCCTGTCAAAACGTGTTGGCATTGAATATATACCGAATATTACGTATGTACTCATGTATTACATATCATTGATTTCTACTAGAAGTTAGTAGAAGAGTGGTACCAAAATGACCGATATCTAAAATTGAATCATAAGATAAGTAAAATTACAAAATTGGCTTGAAACAAGAACTTTGAAATAAAAGATTATTAATTATCGAATCATTTGATAACAAAAGATTTTCCGTGAATTTTATGGGTTTTTAATAAAATATTGTTCCTGTATATGCTTTACTATTAAAGAAAGAATTAAGACAGCTTTTTGAACTATGACATTAAATGATATAATTTTATTAAATAAAGTTACGAAATAATTTTACCTAATCATAGAAAATAATTTATTTTTTAAATTAATTTTTGCAAATATTTCGATTGACGACTTTTTAAATGTGTCACTCTTCTAGCACACCATCGATATAGTATTTATATTATAGTTGTATGTGTATGTGTGAGGAAATTAAATATCTGCTGGTTCCCAGTCACGCGAAGGTCGAACGAATGCATTTCTGAAGATCCTTGGTAATTTAATTATTGTCAAATAACCAACGGCAAAAAAGACGATAATAATTTTAGTAGATTCATTGGAACGTACAAGTTGGCACGCTTGCTAGAAGATTCGAAGAATTTCGACACCTGACAGTGGGTAGAACGATATTGTATGCAGTAGAGATGGATGAATATTGTTCTCTTTAAATGATCTTGCGACACTTATTGTTTACGATATCTATAAATATTTAACTTGATAGATCATATAATAGAAATTAAATACTTGTTTCTAATAAACAATCGACATGTAACGTATCGATTATTTTAAGAACATATTTTTCCGTCAAGTTTAATGGAATCTGGAAAGAACCGGCAAAGACACTTAACCGGATAATGCTTACGACTGCTACTAACCTACTTTTAAATTAAACAAAAGAGCTTCATCGATTTCCTAAAGAAGCATGTACAGATAGTAAATATCTCGAAGATTACCTTAAATGAAATAATTATTCGTCTAGTTTAATCGGGATTGCAAAATACTTTGACTTAAATTTAAATGATGTTCATTGAAACTAATAGTATTACTTACATACATATGTATACTACTACATTACATTACAGTCAAAGTAGTCTGTTACTTTATATGGAGAAACGACATTTCAATTTCGATGGAAGATATACCAATGTACCTACAACGAATACTTTACACGTGTTATCACAAAAGGAAAAAGACAAGGAATATCAAAGAAAAGCTTCCTATTTAATAAACGATAATAAAAATCAGATAAAAAGTGAACCATATATTATATACGATTGTCTGTTATTGAGATAAATAGTTAATTAATCGAAAACACAATTATTGTATTGTTTAGTATCAGCGATGTAATGCACTCGAGCAATTTATAATCAAACACGGACATACAACTACGCGGTACTTATTGCTCCAAATCAATAATGGAGATTTTTTCGGTAAATGCATATAAAACCTACACCAATCTCTACGTTTTCCAAAATATGAATAAGGAAGTGAACGCACACTTGTACAGAATCTCTGAGAAAAATATCCTACCCGCAAGGATCGCGAAACCCTTTTAATATCCGAGGCACGTCGAAGGATCTAGTCTCGATGTGCTGGTAGGTAAAACACGCACAATAAAATTGCTCACAAATCGCTAATTCCGTGTGATTTATATTGCTTTCGTGGCTTCGTCTCGACGAGAATTAATTAAGCGGCCTTGTCTTCGACGAGAAATTCTACGTATACACTCATACAATAAAAAAACACTGCGAATACGATGTTCGGTTAACGTATGACTGCCGAAGACCGAGTGACAAGTAGCTGACGATGTAGCGAGCAGCGCCGCTTATACCCTGCTAGTTGGGCTGAGAAAGCAGCTATATGGATGTGAATGTGTGTCGTGCATATATATAGCACGGCCTGCTGTGTGGTAGAAGTAGAGCAGACTGTGTCGATCCAGCGTACGACGACCTTAAGCTGCTGCACTTCCAAATTCGCGCATCGTTTCTTTCTGACCAGTATTTTATTATACTGCAATGCATTTATATCTTTTAACAGATAAAATAAGGTAGATTATAAGAACATGATGTATAAGCGATGATTATCTTTAATGTTAAATATAAGGATATATTCAATATTATTCATGTGAATTAAAAAATCGATATCAGGCGTACGCGCGGTAATAGAAGTTGGAGGCTTTTTGTCCCATTCCCCAGATTTTTTCAGAAATCTGAATAAAAACATTTGAAAATTTAATTGTGATTTATGATAATTTGCTATAAGTACTTAATGCCAAATCTAAGTGATGGAAATTAATTGATTGAGTAGTCTAAACACACTTCGAAGTATAATTGGTGACATACGTTTGGTAAACGAAAATGTAGAATGTAAAGATGGAGAAACACTGGAATTATCGGTTATTCAATTTTCGCGCTTATTACGTTGGTATAGTATGTAGAATAGTAGAATAGTTGTATGTATTTAATTGTATCATATCACAGTTTATTGGAAGCATTTAACGATGTGTCATACTATGTGTAATATGCCTTTTTTAACCTGTTGTACAAAATTCTGTACAATGCACAAATGAAATATCATAAAACATAATAAATCATACTTTGTTATTATGTTATTACCTAATTGGTCAAATTTTTATTTCATTAATTTACGAGTTTGAAAATGTGAATTCCATTTAGATACTGAGGTACCAAAAGATTAAAAATTGAAGTACTCACCTTATAATATTTCTAAATAATACAATTATAATCTTTAAACATTAACAAACTACATAATTACGATTTTACATCTAAAAATATAAGAATTTTGTCATTAAATTTATCAACTTATTAAACGTTTCAACACATTGGTATTGACAATGAAATTTGTTAGAGTGATGTTATATTAAAATTTCGAAATATTCTTATACGTATGTCATTTCTATATACTAGTGTCTATTGATTGCATATAAAACTCATGTATACATTATTATTATTACTATTATATTCTGTATAATATATATATATATATTCATTACTTCCAAAGTAGAAAAAATTAATTAGTAAAATTTGGATTTTGAGTTTCTATCTACATAAAAATTTGCATAATAATTTAATAAAATATAGTGGCGCTGTATTACGAAAAAAACAAACAAATATCTCTTCAGATCGATTGGACCAGTCACTTAAATGGCGGTAGTTTGTATACATGTTAAGTGCCGCAGAAAAATAACCTCTAATGGAGAGGATAAAACCGGTAGAAAACGTTTCGAAATGTATCAAAACTATTTGTCCATCACCGGAAGAACTTAGTATCATAACGAATAACGTAAAATGTGATAAATGTGGACTCGTATTTAAAAATGGGCCGAGATATCGGTTACATGACCTTAAAGTACATCAACGTAAAAATTTAGATAAAACAATAAAAGAAAATGTACAATATCATTGTCCGGTAGAGTCTTGTATTTATGCTCTAAAAGCCGAAAGACATTTTAGTACTATGAAATATCTTAAACAGGTTAGTGTTGTCATCGTAAAACAATGCTTTTTTTATGAAATTGATCAATGTTTCAATTACGACATGAAATTTAATAATCTGACATATATTTAGCATTACCTTAAAGTACATGCGAAAAAAACGTATGCATGTACTCGTTGCGAAAAAAGTTTCTCTACTGAATCAGCAAAAGAAGGCCACATGAGAGTATGTGGAATTGAATTTGTATGTTCTTGTTCAAAAATTTACAGTTCCTATGAAGCCTTGCTCACACATGCAAAACGATCTTTACATACAATAAATGATAAATATAAAAATTCTTTGAGGTAAGCTGATCATAAAAGATAAATATTTTAATGTTCTACTGTTTGACACATTTAAATACAATATCATCAATTTATATTAATTATTAACATTTTCACAGGCGCACAAATTCTAAAACAGTGAGATTATTTCTATCAAGTAATCAAACAGAAATAAATAAATTAGTTACAATACTACCAATAAATCAAAATGAAAATAAGATATCCAATCCTAGTAATAATACAATGCAGAAACTTACATCAGATATTGGTATACAAACTGATGATTGCAAAAAGAATAAAAGAATATCAAGTCCATTAAAGTATGTTAACAGTAGTTGCTATCATAATGGAAAGTGTGGAATATCTAAACAGACACAGACAAGTGTCCCTCAAAGAATTAGACAAAATGTAATGTCCATGGAAACACAAACGATACAAGCTTCACAAGCATTTAAGAATTCGCTGAAGCTTCAGAAACATGGAAAAAATTCTGTATCTCAAAATTCTGATTATACATTGTTAAAGGAAGACCTTAATCTTAGCAACTTTACAGCTTCAAATTTATTTCCTAGCAGTCCATTACCACTTCGTCATGATGATGGATTACAAGATTTTTGGGAAGATAAGAGTACATCGGGTACTCAAACAATACCTGAAAAAGACATGTTTGAAGTTCTCAATGATAATGTTACTCAGACAGAGTTTGAAACATTTTACAACCATAGTACAAATCCATTGATACAGTGTACTCCAAAGAGTACGGTTGCTTTAATGACTTTACCTTATGTTGAAGAAACGTCGACTGTTGTTGAAGGATATTCCTTTGTATCCTCAAATAGCATATCACGATCAGATCCCATGCTTACAGACAAAACTTTTGATGATAAGTTTAGCAGCATAGAAACTCAAACGGAACAAGCTTATTCACAATCGTTTTTTGATTCAGATCCATTAACTAGATCATTCGCTTTAAGTTCTACCATCGAAACACAAACTACAAATAATCTTGACAACATGGAACTATTATATAGTAATACATGCACACAAACATGTAATGAAATGCTACCGACTGATTTAGGATTATCTAACATTCAAACACAAACACCTTGGACTCAACTCGAGGATACTACTGTTTCTGCCGAAACACAAACAAAATCCTTGATATGTGAAACAGGTTGCAATATATCAATAGGTGCATGTCGTTCCTGGTTGAGTACTCAAACTAGTCACACTGAAACACAAACTGACTTACTTAGTATTTTTGAAGGTCTTCAATAATAAGATATTTAATCTTTATGCATATGGCAGTATAATAATTGATATTTAGAAAAAATACTTTATGTATAAAGTGAAACTAATTTGCATTTGGTATTGTAAAATAAGACTAATTTTTCGTATTGTTATTTAGTACTTTGGTATTTTTTATATTTTGTCACAAACTAATTATTTAAGTTCCTGTATATGTGCAATTTGATGATGGAATATTACGTGCATTGATCGAGAACTGTATTTCTTTAAAAAGAAAATGTTTTGAATTTACTGTATTACACATTAGCCACTGCCATGATTTGTTTATACATGTGTTTCCAGAATAAAAACATACACATTGCAGGCAATGTAATTCTTATACATATAACTTATTATTAAAGCTATTAATTTAAAACTTGCACTTTAAAAAGTATTATTAATATTCAATTTAAATTTTAAGGGGGCAAATAAGCCTTGAATTAAAACCTGTTTTTTTAACTGAAATATAATGTCATTTACACACACAAATAATATATGACAAATAAATTGAATTAAGAAATTTAAAGGTGTATAATAATAGACTCAAGTTATTGGATTTCAAAATAATCTACGGATGTAAAATATAAACTTACTATTACAACATACATATGTTAAAAAAAGCACTTTTCATTTATAAATATTAATTCATAAGTTTTAAGTTGTTTTCATGTCATGTATTACGAAGATAAAGCATTTTGTTATAATACAACATATGGATTTGAAGTTTTTAACTTAATGAATTTTCTAATACATGTAAATAGAAGTATGATCTTTAGATTGAAATATTTGCAATCGTTCGTGTGTCATATACAAAGATAATTTTTAAAAATTTAATTTTTTGTATATATTGTATTGTTACTATACATTATTTAGAAAAACATTTGTCAATTCGCATAATTACAACCTTATTTGAAAGGAGATTCATGCTTCTGAGACTCAAGAGTCATATACCCCCTTAAATAGAAAAATACATAAAGAATCTTGTCTGCTTGAGGTGTAATTGTTCAACTGATAGTTTCAACATTTACAAAGAAACGAAACATGTAATTTGAAACTGTACACGTAACATTGTTACAATAACTATTAAAATATTGTTTTTTTTTAACAATTGCGTTGGAATTATGCATTGAATCCCAACCAGTGTTTTCCGTCATAGCTTCACGTCAAAACGTACATATAAAAGTTAAAATCTTTAGCTTTTTCTTTGCTCGGAGCCGCATGGTGACAGATCACGGTTAAGCTATTGTTTTATTCATGTTTGTTGCTAAGGTTTAAAATTACACTTAAAAGGTCATGCTTTGCCAAGCAGGGTCGATATATAATTGTCGTACACCTAGAATTATATAAGTCGAAATTCAAGAGCTATTATTAACACATAAAGATACAACAAACATGATATGAATATCGTGCTTTTTAATCGAATCAAATCACTAATCGACTCCAAAACGGATACTCAACGCAATTACGCGAGTTCAAGGAACTTATTAACACAGGTTGGGATACATGCCATAGAAGTGAAACAAGGGTAGTATGCAGAAAAAGATGTACACAAGAATGTATTAAAGTGCAGGACCAGCAGCATTATCTTCATCAAAATCTGGTAGAAAATCTTTGGTCCGGTCTTCTATCCTATTCATATTTTCAAGTACTGAAGCTAGTACTCTTAAATTGTCCACGCCAGACATTAGTTGTCTATAACGATTCCAATATATATTATTATTTGAACTACCTAATTTAGAAATCTTGTCGAAATATAACTTTTTACCTTAAAGATACTTCTGCTGATGAGGCAGCATGTCTCAAATCACCTGCTAGTCTTTTTGCTGTCTGATTCATGTTTGAAGAACCATATTCGCTTGTATTTCCCGCCGCAAACCCAGCTCTAAGCTCTTTGTTTTCTAAACGGAGTAACGATATCTCTGTCTGCATTAACATTATGTTTTTCATTTAATAATCAAGTGCGCTATAAGATATTTAAAAAGGGACGAAAATCTATACCAACCGTTAAAGATTTAATCTCTTTTTTCAATGCTGAAATAGTACTTTCTGCATTTACCGCTCTCCTCTACAGAAACAAGATATATTATAGACATAAATTAGATATATAAAACATTCTTGTACTCACTGTACTACGTTTTAGATTATCTTCAACTTGTTCCATTGCTTTTTCAAGATGGATTGTTTCTTCATGATCCACTTCTTTTCTAGATACCAATTCTGATTCTAATAATTGAATCCTGTAACAGACATTGTATAAATAAATTAGAAAATATATTATATTATTGGAGATAAAAGAATTTTGAAAATTTACTTTTCCGATTTCTCATTAATCTGTTTTTGAGCTAATTCTAATTCCTGCCGCAATCTTTCATTTTCCAGCAGTAACTACAAAAAGAATCGATATTTTATAATTATAAAAATTATAAGTAATATATCAATTTAAAATTCAACATTATTCATACCCTCCTTTCTGTAGTCTCTGCACTATTTGGAATAGATCCAGACTCTGTTGATAATGTTGTCCTATTATGAATAGGACCATCATTTAAAAAGTCTGGTAAAGATTTTGGAACATTTGGTTCACTTGCCCCTGAGTGAGAACAATCTCTTATAATCACATTCGACTCAGGATCAGCCTCAACTGTAGATATTGGTAAATCTAATGGAAACCCTAAGTAATGAGATACTATAAATAAACAACCTACATAAATCATGCTATGATTAATAATTAATTTTAACATATCACTTTATAAATACCTAATGGTTCTGAAGTTTCAGTAGATCCTATACTAGATCTAGCAAAAACAGGTAAATTTAAATGGGCAAAACAACTTGTATTTGGTAAAGATTGATTCCTCTGAGGTATTGCTTTGTCCAAATTTCCAGTTAGATCAAACGAAAGATCACATGAAGCACTAGATCCGTTCTTCTTTGATTCATTTCTAAGTCGAGCTTGCCTCTGTTCTACACTGTTTAATGCAAAATCAGGAAGATTATCCACATCTGAAATTGTCTGTTGTTTGGGCTCATGATTTAGATAATATTGTTCTATGACCAAATGATCTTGCACAAAGTCTGGTAATTCTGTTGGATTACGAGAATAAACAGCTGAACTTTTCTCTAGATTATACTGTGTTGGAGATGAATAAACTTTTGGACGAGCTCCAGCATTTTGATAATTTATTTGTGAACCATTTTTTAAAAAATGCTTAAAGCTAAAGGGATTCTCTTCAATTCTCGACGTATTTTGCCCTGTAGAAAATAAGAAACAACAAATATTAAGCTAATTATCAGCTAAATTTTTTGACAAATACCAGGTTAAATCTAACCTGTTTGAGGCTCTGTCTCAGTACGATTCCTAGCAAAGTACTCTTTCGATGTATTTCTACAACTCCGACATCCCGTTGTTACCTCTTCTTCGGAAGATGAAGATGACGAAAACATGACCTCTCCAACGTGACGCCTTGCATTTTTAGATACGGATCGAGACGAATCATTACTTTTTTTACGACTCGCCATCATCTATGCAGAAGATCAACTTTACCGACGACCGTATCATTTGCGGTGCAGTCAAACAGTCAAAACTGCACTTAACATTTGTCACTCGCTGTCTGCAGGTCGGGTCAGGTTAGTCATACGTAACTTTTTCTTCTTTTTCATCACTCAAGAACTCAATGTGAACGTAGGAGCGGCGTATGTTTTAGACTTTTCTATCTGCATCTTCTGTTTCGTAATATAAAGTTATTCTTATATTCAGTTCCTTATCTGAAATGAGTTGCAAGTGATCATGTATATATAAAGGTATACATATATATATATGTATATATATGCTTATATCAATACATATTCAAAGAAAATTAGTTAGTAAAACACTTATCGTGTATTGAAATAATTGATGATAAAAATAATTTTAAATGATTGACTTAGTAAACATTTGTTATTATGTCGAAATGTGATACGGTAATATGAAATATTTATATGTTAATTTTTCAATGTAATAGGTGCGTGAATTATAATTTTGTGATAGAGGTTATCTTCCACGTGGAAATATTGTTAATTGCTGCAATTTTTAAACGAATGTATTCTGCGATTTTAAATACAAAATGTCTCACGAAAAACCTTGTCGTGCATGCATGGATTTTAAATCGTGGGCAAAGAGTCAAAAGAAGGCTTTCGATTCCGAAAAGGTATAAACAAGGATTTTTTAAATAAAGCTATATACGATACATAAATTATCTTTTTTTTAATAGTAATGTTAAAAACTAATACCGATTAGTTTCTAAAAGGTGAAAAATAGTATTACATTTTATGTTGTGAAATAAATTATTTATTCTCACATATATATTTTATTATGTCAGGCAACTGAGAAAATAGAGAAGAAAGATCCACCTGTAAATAAAGTTAAACGTGATGATTGTCCATTAGATAAAGATGAATTAGGTTCAAGAACATGGTCATTTTTACATACCATGGCAGCATATTACCCTGATAATCCAACTGATGAACAAAAGTTGGATATGTCAAAGTTCTTTCACACATTTTCCAAGTTTTATCCTTGTTATGTATGTGCAGAAGATTTACAAGAGCAATTAAAAAAAACTCCACCACAAACCAATTCACAGTCACAATTGAGTCAATGGCTTTGTATGATACATAACGAAGTAAATAAAAAACTTGGAAAGCCTGAATTTGACTGTAAATTAGTTGACCAAAGGTGGAGAGATGGCTGGCTTGATGGTTCATGCGACTGATGATTATTAGTTATGATTGTAATTTTGTAATGAAACCTATATGTGATATAAAAAGCACCATGTAAGTTTATTGTAAATACTTGTAGGAATGCTATAATAGTTAAAAGTATTATCACATATAAATTAACCGTTTGAGTTCCAGGGATCTTTGGAAAAACAGGGTCGAAAAATCCCGAATGGTGCAATAGCGCTCATCATATTTGTTAGTTTTATGAAATACATCTTTACTATTATAAATGCGTACTATTAGTTTATAAATATATCAAGTTTTTTTGAATAAATATTATTGAGAAGATAAGAATGAAATACAAAGTACAAGGCAAAATCTAAACAGCGCGATCGCGCTGCTTGGGACTCAAACGGTTAATATTTATCTTTGTTAACCAATTGTTAAACATAATGTCCTTTCTTAAATATGAGCATTAAAAAAAAAAAAAAAAAGAGAGAAGTAGTAGAAGACTACGCATACAATTACAGATTTGAAGTACCCTTACTATTAATATTGCAAAGTAGATGGCGTTAAGTGTGAAATAGTGAATGCAGAGCTTGTTGTTCTAACATGAGGTTCATAACTGTGATCTTGTCCTTCACCACCAACAGGCATGACTTGACATGTTCTAATATGAAATGGAAAACGTTTGTTAGCCATAGATGGTCTGGTGATGTATAAAAACATTATATGTCCCATAAAAATAGTCCATAACAAACATCCTTTAGCAACGCTTTCTCGTACCCACTCATCCACTAATAAAGTAATGCAGAGTACCTATAAAATTATAAATATCTTTTTTCACATTGTAAAAAGAATAAATAAATTTTTTACAAATATTTTGTTACATAATATTTTACATTATTGTAAATGCAATTAAATGCATAGTTTTTTATATACCGTTAATGGATGACATAAAAACCATGCTGATCCCAATGAAAATAATGAACCATAAAAATGAAGTTTTGTTGACATTTTTCTAACAGTTTTAAAACATCGAAGAGAAAATATAATCCATGCAATCAATTTCAGTATTATTAATCCATAGCCTGGTGGTGATTCATAAATATACAATACCAATCCAGGATCAAAGACATCGGATTGGTAAATATACAATGAAAATTGACAGAAAGAAATCAGACAAATAAAACATATAAGCCATCGAGTTTGCCTGGCTGTTAAAACGCTCTTAGTCACTGTAAAACCAAGAGCCAGTAATAACATAAGTACAGTGTACAAAATATCTGAACATGCTTCTAGAAGTTGACCTAATAAATAAGCATTTTCTGTTGGTATTCCTCTTAAACCAAGATTTATGTAACTATAAATCTCAAATAATATTCCTACTAATTGACAAAGTAGTGAGGCTATAAATATTTTGTAAGAAACATGTAGTAGTCTTCTTGCCCTTAGTTGTATGGCTATGTAAAAACTAAGTATTACAAGTATCACGTAAATACAAGCAATTGTTATCAGTTCTGGCAGTATATCTAAAATGAAAATAGATTTAATTAAATAGCATTGAGTAATTTTAAATTAATATAACGTTACTTGCAGAATTCGTCTGCTGAAAAATGTTCTTTCCAAAAATGACCATGCGGCGCATTTGTTAACGATATCCAATACGACACATTTAGTCCAGTTTTTGATGAACAATCTGCTAATGCGATAAACCACCATCTCGGACGAGATGATCGAAATCTTCGATGACTAGAACATCGTACTGTTTCTTCTTCTTCGACGCATCCTGATTGTTCAGATGTTAATGTCGATAATGGTACTATTTGACCAATTCCGTCCCAAAGTATAGCTTCTTTTTCTATGCATGTTTTATTCGAAGGGTAAACGCTTGGCCACTGATCAGGTGCATCATAATACAATAGTATTTTTAAATCTTGTTCTTTGCCTCCCAATTCGAATTCGTACCGAAATGTGCCTTGTTGCGTTAAGAAGCAAAATCTTGCTAAAAATGCCCAATTCTGAAAAAAATTACAGCGATATAAAGTGGAAAGAAATCGACAAATGTTTAGATTAATAATTATTAGGAAAATTATGAAATATAATATATATAATTACGAAATATAATTCTTGTGATACTAATGACACTTGATAATACTACGTAATATATAAAAACATTATGTACAATGTAACAATACAGTTTATATTTACTATCTCTATTTGATTGAAATTAAATGTAATAGTAATTAACATATATTTTTTTGAAATAGCATATTTTTATTAATTTACTTTTACGCGTTATTTTTCAAAATTTAGTATTAATATTATTGTTTCAAAATATACTTAGAAATTCGAAAAAAATGCTTATTACTTCACGTGTTACAAGGTGTCCTTGAAGAATTTTGGCCTCTGAGTATGTCAATAAAAAATTAAATAACATAAAAAAGAATGACAATATGTTAAACATAGTTGATACACGGCCGTACAATTTTCCTGAACTGAAATGATATCTACATATCTGTAATATGTTACCTGCTACCTGCTACCTGCTGTTTTTCTCATGATCAATATTTCCCTGCTATTTAGAGCTATGTATGCATTTCAATTAGTGTATTGATTTATGTTGTGATAATAAATATTTTACATATAAAGTAAAAAATATTCAATATGAAAAAACAATAACCAATGGTAAATATATAAATTTTATATTTTTTAATCGCAATTTAGAGCTTTAGAATCGTTTTATTGTTTAGTGTATATTTTTTATGACCTTGACTTTTCTTTACAATAATACGATAATAATATATAACAAAGTAATACGTATACATATATGTATTAAGTGTAACAGGAAATATTAAAGATTTTATTTAAATTATATTGTTGGAATTAATGTTTTACGATAGAAAGTGTAATTAGAAACTTACGAGTCTACTTAAATTTAGTAAATGATATATATGAATATAAAAAATAATGTTATTTTATGATTAATAAATAATGTATAAATCAATTTCTTGGACATTTTTTTATTAAATATCAATATTTTATTTTAACATAAATTTGTAATTAAGAGATTATATATAACATGATGATAAAGAAATTTTTTTGTTAAAAATGCTAAATTAGTTTCATGCTTCACTCATACGTATCGTCTCGTACTGATTGAAACATAAACACGTATTTTGTGTTTTACAGTGCAATGATAATTCATATTAACTATAAGAAAATTCCTAGTATCTCTAAAAGTCATTTGTAATATTATTTGTTTTATACAATTTGTTTTATATTATGTGTTGTAGCAACATTCATAAATCTAAGTTAAAAATTACTATTAATTTCTGTTATTAATTTCAATAGAGGTTATATACAACGAAGCAATCATGAAAAGTAAAACAGGAGGTCTTAAGGGTTTTAAAAGTAAGTGCAGTATTCTTTGTTAAATACAATAATCAGCTTATTTATCTATCTGAATAAATTTTTATTCAATTATTCAACTTGTAGCATTATGGATTCGATTTGACGAAGAAACTACAGACAAGCACCAACTATTTTTTAAGGAGCATTCAATTAGAAATCAAGAATCTATACATCCTAAAGGAAGAACACTATTTCTATTAAATATTCCTCCTTATATTACACATAAAGCATTAATTAAAATATTCAGTGATTTGTGTGGAACTGTTTCTAAAGTTTATTTTGTAACTCCTAAAGGATTTAAAACTGCATATATAGTTTTTGAAAAAGAATCTGATTTAGAGAAAGCATTAGAAATTTCTGAAAACTATGTAATAACATTAAATAAAGAAAAAAAGATTTGTTTTACAGGAGTGGAAAGTAAGTTATCTAAGTTATGCATGGATTTATTGGATATTTCTCTGTGTAAAATACTTCTAATTCATTTTAATAAATTTAACAGAATGGTGCTTAAACTATAACCGTTCAATATGTAATGAGAAGGAAATGAAAAAGAAAATTGAAACGTATATGCAGAACTATGATCAAAAAATTTCTGAGAAAATAGCGAAAGAAAAAGCTATGGAGGAAGAAGCAGAAAATGATGGTTGGGTAACAGTAACAGGACGAAAGAAGAGAGGACAGTTTGCACTTTCCAGGAAAGAATCTACTATTAATAAAGTGCAACGCAAAGAAGAACAAAAAAATAAGAAAAAGCAATTGCTTAACTTTTATACTTTCCAAATTCGGGAAAGTAAAAGACAGAGTAAGTTTTATGTCAGATTGGTCTTAATAAATATATGCAGAATTTTGATATTTGGGGTCTTATTAAATTTTTTTTATAGATTTAGCAGAGTTAAGGAAGAAGTTCGAATTAGACAAAAAGAGATTACAAGATCTAAAATCTAAGAGAACGTTTAAGCCATTTTGAGATTGTATGTATAACATAGATTAATCATATCAACGTGAAATATATATTTATTATATTGTAAAAAATTTTTTTTTTACATTTATAAGTATGGTTTTGTATTTATATAATTGTATTTAAATTTATATACAATTCCGCAAAATAAAAATAACTACAATAGAAAGACAATAATGTAATTAAGCAGCTTTAGATGCATATGTCTGTAAAGTCCATTCAATTAAGAAGTGTTGATATGATAAAGGCTGTAACAAAGCCAGTAACTCTTCTGTAAAAAAAAAACACAAATTAATCTTTAATTAAGGACTAATTTTATACGTTAAATGATTATGATATGTACGTTTGTTTCCATAAATACAATTTGCAGACATAGCTGCACTAACAGCTTGTGCAAGGCGTTCCATAGCTAACTCACGCGAAATAGAATTAATATTTGTTTGAGATTGTAAACTAGTTGTTAAAGTTCGAGTGGTAGCAGCAAAATGCTGTGCGGATATAGCATGTTTATTATTTCCGCTATTTTTTAATCGTAATACCGAGTCCATAAGTAGTTGTTGAATTTTAGAATACAATTTCTTCTGCTCCTCAGAATATTCTGTATTTTCTGTACCAACTGAACGTACAGGTGATAAAATACACCACCTAAAACAGAGAGTTATACAATTATGAATACTTTATACTTAATTTTATGCAAAATTTTTCTTTTGAGTTACCTGAATAAACCTGCTATTGGAGTTATTGGTGTCATTGGAATGCCACCGGTTGGTAAAGCAGGATTATCCATCAAAGGAGTCAATAAGAGACTTGGATTTTCATCTATCCATTCTCCTACCAACCTGAGCAGTTCTGCAGGTGGATATTTGTCCTCATAGACTTCACCTATTGCCGTTAGTAAGTTGGCAGTGAAATGTGGTGCAAGAACAGGAAGCTGCTTCAATTTATCAATAGATTTTGGAGTAAGGACAAAATAGTCATTAAGTACGTGCCTTGCCAATCCTACGCTCTGTGGTGAAGTAGAGCCTAATTGCTGCATCCAAATTCCAGTCGCATTTAAGACTGCTTTATTTTGAGTGGCAATGGCTAAAGATACTAAATTGCCTAAGATTTTGTATCTAGGACTATCTGCAGGGAAAAGGGATAAAAATACTGCGTTGCGTACAGCGGCACTTCCTCCAGGACTTTGAAAAAAATCGCTCAGAACTTCTATTAATTGCAACTCTTGTATCGCTGTCGTCAGGTTGCGCTTTTTCCGTTTCTCTATTTCTCCGAATACAAATTCCGATATTAAATCTAGTTGTAGATCCATTTGTTTTCCAGGTCTGCTGCATAGTATTTCTTTAAAAATAGTAATAAAATTAAAAAATGTTAAAAAATATAAGGTTCTCTGCTAACCTAACCTATTTCAACCAATGTCTTACCGATTCTGCATAATGCTTCTCTAGAGCAGTAAGGAAAATCTAATTTTCGCAAATTTTGTTTTATATCATTGCCTGCCATTAATGCATACGTGCCGCTATAATACCCAAATACATTTAAAATAAACTAGTCAGTCTTTGCGTGACATTTAATAAGCGCTTTACCAAAACATTGAATATATTTTCTAAAGCTATAATTCCGGATTTTTATGAAAGCGATATGGTTTTGATAGCTAACGAAGACTGTATATTGATTGGTACGGTTATATTTTTTTGAATTTCTGCCACTAAATATCCAATGAATACGTAGTTAAGTCTGCTGGTATAAACGCGCGAGAAAGAAAAATATTTCTGCAATTTATTTCATGTACATATGCCTGTATCCCTTATTTAATTGCGTTAAATTATGAATTAAAATTTTACTGTACGTACTTTTTATGCATTCAATTGTAAACAATATAATTTTTATTCGTAATCAATATGCAGGATATACAATGCGATACCGAATTTTTAAAACCGAACAACACAATATATTATTTAAATTATTTAATATTGTACATTAAAGCTTAATATTTTTATGTTTTAAAACATACATGATATAAAAAATAGTAATTTTTTATTACACGGAAGATATAGGAAAATTATGGTACATATAAAAAAGATTCAATTTATTTACAAAAAGTGTAAAAATATTTGTGACATATTTTACATAAATTTTCTACTCGTTTCTTTTAAATTTGTATAAATGATTTATTGAAATTCTATTTTATATTTGTAATATGTACATATGTTAATAGAGATATATTTTTTTTAGGATTTTAATAAAATTTATCTTTTGTTTCACATGTATCGCAATGAAATCGGGTATCCAATGCGTAGCGCCACCTTTGAGTAGGTTGCGAACTACACTGTTAGTCAAAACAATCGCCGAATTCAGGATCTATTTTTAGGCGGCACTCACTAAGCTACGGTACTTTACTAATTTTCGTGTGCATCGAAAAAAGGGACAGACGCTTGCAGTGTTTCGTGTAATTGTCTTTCGATTTTGGAAAGGTTCAACGACCTCACGGTAATTGTGACAAGAGACTGACCGGCCATGTTTATACCGTGGTGAATTTTGAGCTAGCGGCCCATAATCTACAAAGTAATTTTCCACGTGTACTTGTTCGATACTCGCGTCGTCTACCGTACGTCCAGCACGGTGTCTAGGGCCTTTTCGAGATGGAGTCTAGCGAAAGGGGTGAGTAAATCCGCAATAGAAATAAAATCACGACAATATTGAGCCTCTGACACAAATCGCGACCTGGGGGCAATGGCAGTGTCAGGGTCGAAACGGAACTAGTTCAGTGACCGCATTCGCGGCATTTGACCGCGATATTACCGGAGAATTTCTTTTCGAATCTATCCCTTATTCATCTCGAACTCTCTATGAATACGGCGTTTCTCTTTAGAATAGCCTTCCTGTGAAAATTCCTCTCGAGACCGAATCTATGTCACGCATCTCACTTTTGATCTTGACTGTACTCTCTCTTGGTTCAATTCTTACGCGTATCTCTTTTATACATATTTATGAACATAGAAATGACATATAAGAAAGAAGCATTTTATATTTCAGTGTAATTTATTTTTCTTTTAATCGTCTGTGTCATAAACGAGCGATTTGTTCGAATAGGTGTAGCTTGTATTTCGTGTTTCTTTGACGTTTTACGAGATAGTAAAGAAAGCTGATCGGTCAGACGGCTACGTTTTGTATTACGCAATAACATAACGGCGTGTCTCTAACCTAGATAATCTCTCGCGTATAGTGAATTGAAGCCAGGGTACCGCTTGACAGAGACACGTGAGAATTATTATCGCTTGACCGAGTCCGGCATCTGTTGCAATGTGGCGACACCTGCCGACCGTTCGTGCACGTCCTACCTCAAGCTAGTGCGAATTAACCCTCCCTGTGTTTGTTGCCGTTCAACCCTTTCGTTCTATGAAAGGCAGAGACGAAAGGAGCGATGTAGTAAAATAAATAAAAGTGAATTCTTTTAGAAATTATTTTATCATTTAATGAAAATCTATGTTGGGTTAATAACGTTGAAGAATGTTATTGTGCTAAATAAATGAATATAGTTGAATTAAAAACTAATTGGAGGTTAAGTTTCAAGTAGCGCAAAGAAGCGAATATTCGAGTAATAATATTCAATTGTTTTTTATTTTTTTATTAGCAATCTATCGAGGCAATAATGTTAAACAGAATTAAGATGTTAGGAAAAGCTATATTCTATTTTATATACAATGTTTATTGACAAAGGATAAGGTTAGAAGACGTTTAATAGCGCATAAGTATATTTAAATTGTGCAACTAATTATCTTGCATCATTTTGCAAAGATTTAATATACAATTTATCTTTTTCATCGAACTTTTTACAATGATGTGTCAGTGTTTCTTTTCCTATAGAACCATTTTTTGTATAGGTATACAATTTATAAAACATAGTACGTAGTTTGAATTTTCTAGGAATACGCTGTTGCGCGAAATTTCCAGAACCTTTCTGTCGCTACTAGAGGGCAGGCGTGCGCCATTGTTTTCCCTTTTATTTTTAATCCATTCTCTTTTCATCCTTTTTTCATTCTTCTACCGAGATCCTTCTCCTCTTTCTCTGCCAGACTCTTCCTTGTTATATAAGTCCAAGGACGAACTATGCGATTGTACTGTCTCTGTCCATTTTTGCATCTCTCTCCCTTCTTGTCGGTTTTTTGTGCTCTCTCTCTCTCTCTCTCTTTCTACTAGTAACGCCATCTTTTTCTTTCTTTTTCTAACCTGTTTTCTGTTGTCCCTCTTTCTCTTTTCATCTTTATTCTTCCGGTGTGTTGCATTGTCGTTCTTTCTCCCTCCCTCCCAATATACGTACTTCTCTATTCATTGCTTCACTGTTGCTTTATTATATTGGCCTGTGCATGTTGTGCATCCCTCTCTTTCTTTCTCTCATTGTGCTTCGATTTGCATTATGATTGGATGCTGTTCTTTGTTAAAACCGGTGTACTATTAACACGCGTCCTCGGTTGAATAATTTATGAAAAACGTGCTACCCGCTTTTGAAAGAAATATCATGCTTTTAGTTGTCGGATCTCTTCTGTCTAATTTTTCAATGCTCATTTCAAGGTCAACCACATAGTTCTCGTAAACAGAGTACTATTCGAAATGAACTCGAATGGATTTAGACTATACATCCTAACCTTGAATTGTTTCAAGGTCATGACTGAGCAGAAGTTACGTAATCAAGGACTAACTGCAGAGATACTCAATCGAGTCTAAAACTTTGAACTCAATTATTTCTTCCCTTGCTCGTGCAACATTATATCGCATTTTTATTCAAATTTCATTTTATATGAATTCTTATACAGTATGTGGTTAAGCTAGCTGAATTATATTTCTATTGGAATTTTTATGTATTTTTATGTATTAAGTCGGCTTTTCAAAAGAATCAAATCGGAAAGGGGTTAGCGTGTTTCGCTATTCGTGTACAAGTTTATTTTCGCACGTGCCGTGCGCAAACGGGATCGTTTATGGCCACGTCCAATCTGTACTGTTCTAGGCTTGCGAAAAATTTGAAAAAGTTGCAGGACATTTAACAAGGTCTTTACTACGATGTACGATCAGTTGTTAGATCAAATACGTAAAGCTTTTCTATGTAAAATGTTAAAAAATTTGCTTCGAGAAAATTCACGAGCAAAGTTTAATAATTCATCAGAAATGGAAAAGTTTTAACGATTTAGAAATAAACGATCCTAGGTTAGTTACGTAGAGTTCGATTGAAGATATATAACATAATCTCGAAGAAAGAAAGTTTCTTTTCTAGCAGAATTAAACGGATAAAGATAAGCACCTTCAAAGTTTTCATTCCGTGAACAAACTTTAAAATATATTAAAAGATTTTTTAAATTTAGAATATTTCTCTTAATTATTCCGTTAATAATTAATACATCATGAATTATTAACTAGGCGAAGCAGAAATAATGCCAATTGCATAAGTAACTATATCGACGATAAATAGGATGCAAATGCGTGACGATCGTCGCGTTTCATTAGACTATCGTTCGCGACAATTGAATGGTATTGATTTGTAGTGTTGAACGCGAACTAGAAGGATGGATAATCGACGGCCTTGCGCGAGATTATACTCGTCCACCGGGTATCGTACGATTTCGCGTCCTCGGGGATGGAATTGCACGAACTGCCTCGTCAAAGGGAATTACATGCATGACGAATTTCAAATCGATATTTTTTTGCAATAATTTTATCTCTTATCTTAAAAATTACGATCTTCTTTTAATTAATTTTCAAGAGTAAACTTTCCAGGAATACGAACATAAGTTGGAATTAGTTTGTTTATCCGCGAGTGGCCTTGTTGGGTGTAGATATATTTTCCCTATCATTCGACTAACTCTTATATTTGAACCTCGTTGAATGAGTCAATTAGCAAGCTGCTCTAACATCTGCCACAAACAATCGTTTTCCTTTGCTCCGACTGGCAGTTCGTATACTGTATACTTATACGTATATCGGGTGTTTTTCAAAAATTCGCTTTTAAGTCTGATCGATCGAGCAAAGACCGATGATCGCTTATTCGTCCACAAGTATTTGAACATTTGATGCAATTCGATGAAAATGTTAATATCTTTGTTATCGTTTCAAAGTCACGATTAAACGTTTCTTCGTTACGAATACTTTATCTTTTGCCTTAGCTGAAATCGAATACTGTTTAAATCGAGTCAGGGAATATGCCCGCGTCGCTAAAGTTCCACGTAGTTGGCACTTGCTAAAAGTCTATATAAACTTTTAGAATGTGGCTAGAAATACGTAAGCATGTATTACCGATGTCTTCGTAGGATCAATTTTCATCCACCTCCGATTACTTGTGTTACTTCCTTAAGTACTTACTACTTTAGTACTTACTACTACTGCACGCATGTTTATTTTATTCCCGACAACGTTGCAATTTACCAAAATGCATCCCGAAAGAGGAGGTTCCAAAAACTCGCGTCGAATTCAACTCGCCCGTCGCCGAGCATCGATGTCGAGCCAAACATATAGTAGCGTAAAGTTCGCCATGGTTTTGAAACACGATCTCCAGGTTGTTTCGAGTAGCTTAAACGAAAGCGTGAGTTTCGGCAGTTTATAGCGTAACTGGTGGCCGTTGCATTTAATTCCAAACGAACATTGGCCAACGCAAGGATCCGTTCTACGTTTTTATGTTAATTAACGAGATAGAATTTCATCGTGTGGGCGTAGGACATTCACGTTCGCCCGTTTAGATAGCTCGGTCGATCTCTCGCTTGTCGTATCGGGTCAGGACATCCTGCAGTTGCAACCCGTCCCCCGAAACGTGCAATTTCAGGGATTATTTCCACGAACGAACTCGTACAATCCACCAAATATCGTATATCGCAGGCAAACGGTAATTTCCGGTATCGTTTATGCGGGAAACGCGAAACGAAATTGGCTACTGCGACGATATCCTGCGACGAAAAACCTGGTTTGGGTTTGTGGTTCGTTCGATCTATCGTAATCGCACGAAACTGCCGTGTTTCTCGAAGTTTTCCTTTTAAAAGAATCGGTCGCTTGCGTTAATTACTTACGTTAAATATACAGGGTGGTTGGTAACCGGTGGTACAAGCGGAAAGGGGGTGATTCTACGCGAAAAGAGGGGTCGAAAATATAGAGTAAAAAAATTTTTTTTTCTTTTTTTAAATTTTTCCATCGAGACAACGATCTACAGCGAGATCCGTTATAACGAGACGCGATAAAGTGCACGCGTACCGGGCGAAAATTCAAAGTCGATTTTCTCGAAAACAAAGCCTCGAACGACAAATTTGTATTGTATATGAGGGGTCGAAAATATAGAGTAAAAAAATTTTTTTTTCTTTTTTTAAATTTTTCCATCGAGACAACGATCTACAGCGAGATCCGTTATAACGAGACGCGATAAAGTGCACGCGTACCGGGCGAAAATTCAAAGTCGATTTTCTCGAAAACAAAGCCTCGAACGACAAATTTGTATTGTATATTTTCGACTTCTTTTTTCGCGTAGAATCACCCCCTTTCCGCTTGTACCACCAGTTACCAACCACCCTGTATTTCTCGACTCCACCGCGGTCGAGTTTTCATACTCCAATGCGACGTTTGTTTCAACGAACAAAGGAACCCTCAACGTTTCCAGAGAAACTACAATGAAAAATTGAAAGAAGAGATTATGGGTATGAACAACGAGTGTATCTCGTATCGTACATATTTCTTGTGTTTTTCCGAGACTAGAGAAGTTTTTAGCAGCAGAAGAACACGATTGTGTCGAAAATCACTTAAAGAAGACAGTAAATGTATTCTTTTTGGATTAATGAGGTTCCATTCGCACGAAATACGTGGATACTCACGTACCTCTACGCCTATGGTGTAATATACCATGTAATATGTATATGTAATATATATATATATATATGGTGTAATATACCATGTAATATACCATGTTATATATATATGTAATATATATATATATATGGTGTAATGTATAATTTGCACAAAGATCACCGTCGTGCAAAGATTTTTTTTACAAAGGAGTTTGAATCCAGAAAATGCAGATTTTAAGTACATCATTCACAATAAACATGAATTTTTGTAATGGTATGTTAGGCAAAGGTACCGATACGCGGCGGTACGACGTAGCCATGCTGTATTATGTGTCGGCGCTTTACATTTTTCGTTGTATGATGCAGTTTTTGGGTTTAAGTCTCTGGGGAGCGGAGCTTTTTTTTATGTATTTTTTTTTATTTTTTTATGTATTTTTTTTTATTTTTTTTAGATTTTAAGTACATCATTCACAATAAACATGAATTTTTGTAATGGTATGTTAGGCAAAGGTACCGATACGCGGCGGTACGACGTAGCCATGCTGTATTATGTGTCGGCGCTTTACATTTTTCGTTGTATGATGCAGTTTTTGGGTTTAAGTCTCTGGGGAGCGGAGCTTTTTTTTATGTATTTTTTTTTATTTTTTTTCTGTCCTGCAGTGTAAAAATTTGTCGTCGCTGAATGACCAACGAGCAATTAACCATTTTTCAAGCTTTTTACCTTAAACCGATCTCGTAAAAAAATTATCTTTCCTAGCTGCATCGTTGTCGTAGCGAGTCAACGGTATTTTCCCCGAAAATCTAAATGCACGATTGCCTCGAATTTGGCCGAACAAGTCATCTTCCATTTTTACTCCAAGCGCATAGCCAACGTCCGATCGTTAACAACGGCTAAAAAGCCTCAAGATTTTTGACCCGACCTGTTTACTCTTCGATATAGTCGATAATATTGTCCCGCGAGGAACTCGCATATGTAAATAGCGATACGTAGCTCGCGATCGAAGAAGAAAGGAAAAAGAAGGAAAAAAAGGAGCGCGAAGGGAAAGATATATAAAAAAAAGAACAAGTTACTCGTCGTATCTGGCTGTTTAACAAATTTCTCGAGATCGAAACGCGTATTCAATGGGAGAAAATAATCGTCCTCCGGATAGATCGTGTCATCGTCCAAGTCTGCATTGCTAGTTTCTCCTGGATTACCCGCTTTGCGCGTTTTCGATAAATATGCACGAGTTTGTCTGTCTGTCGCGGTTCGTTCGCGGCAAATATAAATAGACGACTACGAAGAGTTTATTGATCGCAATGCATCCAAGGTTTTGCAACGGCGGAGCGCGATTATGTAAGCAGCACGTGCAATTATTGCGTTGCGTCGCGGTTCAGACGTTTGCCCTACGGCCAAGTGCCTGTTTCCGATAGGGTGACGTCGCTTCGTCGCGGAACGCCACTCTTCTTTCTGAAATTTTTCCATCCGTTTTTTCAAGTTACGAAAGAGAGAGACGGAGAGAGGAAAAGAGTTAAATTGTTCGTGGAAATTTTTAGACGGTTTATGATTCGTTATCGCGCAATTTTTATGGGATTCTTACGTTGCGATTTTGCGGACGATCTTGTCTTTATGTTGCAAGATTTCGTAAATTTTTTTTTAAGAAGAGTTATTTTTTTGTGGAATTTTTATCGAATCTTTTGTGCGAGGTTTTTGAGGATTCGAAGGTTTCGAAGGTTCGTCGGTTTCGATAGGAAAGAACTTGATCGATCTTTTTAACGAAAGGAACAACGCGGTTGCTTCTCGCTGTGTGGAATTTTCATGAAATTTCTGTGCTATATAGCTATATTACGTACGTTTCTATATTACATAAGATTTTATATTGTACGAATCCTGCATAGACGTAAAAATGATTTATTGCCATATAGTAGATAGTAGACGTATAGCAGATAACGCAAATCCGAGATTAGAAATGAATGTGTCAAGGTGTCCGAATTAATTACGGTCGGCTTAGTATTTTCTGTCGATACGAAATTAATCCGAGAGGATGGAAAATGAAAAAAAAGGGTGAATTATAACGAGGTAAGGTAACGAGGTGGTTTATTGCCATTTTTGGTCGAAGGTTAAATCTCATCGACAAGGCTGTCATCTTTTTAGGCTTTTTATCTTCTTATTTAAGATATCAACCTTCGATGCACGTTTTTATAATTAGGACAAGTGGGCTCCTCGCTCGAGTAAAGCAGTTTTACTTGGGAACACTGGGCGTAATTGGAGATCGAACGATAAAGCTGATAAAAGACACCGGTTAAACAGACTATTTCCTCCGATATTGTCAGCCTGATTTTCAGAAAGGTTGATTTCAAAACGATACATCTATTCCTTTCTAATGGGATCAAACAAGAAGGGATGAAAAAGAGTCAAACAAAAGACAGAGTCGTAGGACTCAGTATCTTTTTAAAATGGAGTTTAACGTTGCGTCGAATTCAAAGTTATTAATTATACGAGGTATAAGAGAATATATATAATTTACTACGCGAAAAAAGAAGTCGAAAATATAGAATACAAATTTTTCGTTCGAGGCTTTGTTTTCGAGAAAATCGACTTTGAATTTTTGCTCGGTACGCCTCCACTTTATCGCGTCTCGTTATAACGGATCTCACTGTAGATCGTTGTCTCGATGGAAAAATTAAAAAAAAAAAATTTTTATTCTATATTTTCGACTTCTTTTTTCGCGTAGAGTCACCAC